TGAAACAGGGAGCATTATCAGGCACTAGAGAGAGATTGAGAACCACTTCATCAACTTCTTTCAGACACAACTTGGCCAGCAGACTCCTAGGAAAACTGCAAGGCAAGAGGTGTTTATGAAGGGTCCTAGATTAAACCTAGAAATGCAAACGCAACTTAAAGCACCAATTACTAAGAAGGAGATCAAAAAGGCACTGTGAAGCATCAACATCAACAAAAGCCCAGGTCCCGATGGATATGGGAAGGATTTCTTGAAAAGTCACATGGAGTATCATTGGAGACGACATCATAGTTGCCATCTTGGAATTTTCGGAAACTGGTATGTTACTAACACATGTAATGCTAGTCATTATAGGCCTATAACTTGTTGTAATATGTTTTGGAAAATCATATCGAAGGTGCTATGCAATAAGCTTAAATTGGTATTACATGTGTTAGTTGATGGGAACCAAGGGGTATTTGTAAAGGGTAGATGCATCTTGCATAACATTCTTATCACTCAAGAACTTATAAAAATGTACAATAGAAAAGGAATTCATAGTAGATGCATGATAAAGGTAGACCTACAAAAGGCGTATGATTCAGTTGAATGGGACTTCATTGAGGAGTATTTAAAAGGATTTGGATTCCATGGCAAGTTTACTAGATGGGTCATAGCATACGTGAGAATAACATCCTTCACTATATGTTTAAATAGGGCCACTATAGGGTTCTTTTATGGTAGTAGGGGTTTGAGACAGGGTGACCCAGCATCTCTGATAGCAATCCGTGACAAAACTAATCTTTAATAGAAGATCAACTTTGCTAAGTCGGAAAGACAGAGATTTGTAGGCAGCGAAATTTGGAGAATTCAGATTTAAAGACTCAAAAACACACGAAAAACAAAGAAAAGAAAAGATATTTGATCTCACGTGGATCAATTCACAAGTTCAATTGTAGAACAACCCAAATCAAGAATGAAGAGAGCTATTTCTAACCAAGCAGAGACCCCTTAGAAAATTGTGTAGGAAAACCCAATAGATATGAGATCTATGAGCTCAAATACCAAGATTCGAAAGATCCAATGCTAAAGACACCACTATCAAGTGAACTAAACAAGATAGATAAGTCTAATAATTGTCACAACACATATGCAACAACTAAACAAAGAAGTCCTCACAAGAACTCCACGAAAGGAATAAAATCCTAACCAATTTCACTCAGGAAAATATCAATAACACAAGGTGTGTTGGACAAGAGAATTTCGGTCCCTATTTATAGAGGGGGTGGCCGAAATTTCTTCCCAAGAAGTAGAGGAAGAACACAACTCTTCACCTCTATTCCTATCTCTAAGGAAATGAAATCAAACTCTAAAGACTCCTAGTTATCTTAAGTGATAAGATAACGTACCTAGACACTTTTACTAGTCTTAAAACATTTAAGACTTGTAGGAATTAATTAAAACTCAAAATACAAAGAGATAATCTCTTAGAAATATTCCAATGGATAGAATCTCCCTTGAGTTAAAACTCTATCATCATCTTCTTTGTAGAGTGATCTTAGCCATTCATCTTGATGTAGTCTTCATCCAACGGTTGAGTAGACATCAAAAGTTGACTCTTTATTGTAGGACACTCGAAAAAAAGATAAAAGGAATCATCCCAAATATTATCTTTTAAAGAGATAAAAGTCTTATCTTTCAAAGAGATAAAATTTGAATGATTTCACCCATAAACTTTAGGGATTAATTTGACCAACATGAGGGTGTGGCCGGCGGCTCTTCCTTGGATTGAGGGCCAAAAATCTTCTCTTCAAATGGGCCAAGTCCATTTGGTGTCACTTGCAGTAAATTAATAGTCTTGGACTTGTAATCTTCAAGCTTAATTTCCTCCTTAGCCCATATAGTAACAATTAGACTATTAAGTGATTCATCCATCCTCTTGCGTCTAGCACGAGTCATTGGTCCAACAATGTTTGAGAGTGGATCACGGATGTAAGGATTATTCTTTAAAGCAGCATCTTTAGATCCTCCATTAGCATTCACGACCTCAACTTGCTCGTCCTCTCCATTATTGGCAGCAACATGTCCCTCTCCATTAGTGTTAGCTAGATGGTCTCCATCAATCTCCCCCCTAGTGTTTGTTCTGGTGATGGAATATTTCACTAGGCAGATGAAAGAGGTAGCTGATCAACTAGGTTTTAAATTTCAATCCCCTCTGTAAAAACCTGAAACTCACCAATATCTGCTTTTAAGATGATCTAATGATCTTCTGCAAAGCAAACATGTTTTCTATATTATGTGTAAGAGAAGTCTTTAAGGAATTCTTGCTCACGTCTGGACTGAAAGCAAGAGCTACAAAATCAAAGGTTTTTGTAGGTGGGACAGACTCAGTAACGAAAAGTCAAATCTGCAACTTGACTGGATATGAGGAAGGAGCCTGCCCTATGAGGTATCTTGGAGTACTAGTTTCACCTAGATAATGGAATCAGCTAGAATGCCAATTGCTAGTGGATAGAATTACAAGTAGGTTCAAATGTTGGAGTACGAGACATCTGTCATACGCTAGAAGATTACAGTTAATTACTCAGTGTTGTTGTATATGTATGTATATTGGGTTTTGGCTTTTATCTTACCACAAAGTGTCACTGCTACTATTAATAAAAAATGTAGAGTTCTTATGGGGGGTTAGAGAATCTTGTATATACTCAGCTCTAGTAGGTTGGGAGTATACATGTAGAAGTAAGTCAAAGGGAGGATTGAACATTTATGATGCTAGAGTGTGGAATGAGGCTGCCATTCTCAACCAGATATGGTGGCTCGCAAATAAGAAGAGTAACATATGAGTTAAATAGACTCATGAAGTCTATTTAGGCCAAGATAGTATTTGGAAAGTCCAGAGTAAGCAGAACCATAGCTGGCGTTAGAAACAAATCCTCAAAATCAGAGATAAAGCAAAAGACGGATTTGTAGATAGAAAATGGATTGGGGATAAGAAGGAGAAGTACACAATTGTAGATGGTATAGAAGGCTGTATGGAATAGCTAGCAAGCAATCTGGGCCTTCTCTAAATTGGTCTAGGATTAACCTCCTTAAACATGCATTCATATCATGGCTGATGTGGAAGGGCAGGATTTGGACCAAAGATAGAATGCAGCATCTGAATATTCCAGTTCAGGATTTGAGATGTTGTCTGTGTGGCATGTAGGATGAGACAGTTGATCATTTATTCTTTGTTTGTCAGTATTCACAGGAATTAGTAGAGAGAAGATTTTCAGTACGAATAATGATACACAACTCACCTTATTTATCTCACTATTGTATCTCACCTTACATGACATTTAATTATTGAATCAAATTTACTGAGTTAATTTAATTTGTTTTGTTAGATTTATAGACTTTTTGATATTTTATATTCACAAGTTTTAAAATAAATAGACTCTAACTCCAAAAAAATAAACTCCTTTGGGAAAAGTGTAAGAATGCAAATGATTCATCGATCAATTGAACAAAAATTTATAAGAAATATAACATTTACATTGAGTTATTTAGATGTAGATTAGTAAACGGTCAACAAATTTATTATCCAATAAATGATTAACATGTAAGGTGATGCAAGGGTGAGATGAATTTGGTGAGATAAATATTATTTTCCTTTCAGTGCAACAAAGAAAGTTAAAGAGGGAGTTGCAGAATACATAGAAGGGAACCATACTCACGAAGCAGAATTCATATGCATCTACCATGGCATGCATTTATAATTTGTGAGAAGAAAGGAATAGCAGAAATTTCAAAGGATAGAGGACCGAAAACGGTGAAGATCAGAGTTCAACAGTGGAGGAAGAAAAAGATGACAGAAAAAGAGACGGGTATTTGCCAACAACTTTTTGCAAGAATGTGAAAAAAGAAGATTTTGTAAAGCCGAAATGTGAGTAGATTTTGGTAGGAAATCTGTATTTCAATATTATATTTAGTAAATAAAATTTACTGTTGTTTCAAAAAAAAAAAAAACACTAATCAAATTATATATAAATTCAATGATTTCCTACACATGAACTATTTGTCATAACTTCTTGACATTGGCCCTTTTGTGTTTTGGCAAGTCTGGTCTTTCCCAACAATAATGTTATTTCTTTATTTTTCTTTCTGGCGGCCATATCGATTATTTTATCATCATACCAAATAAGACAATGTGATAAATCACTTCACAGTGTTATTAATAAAATCAGTTTATTCCATAAATGCATAATCTAGTTAAAGCGAAACAATCGTTAACAACGTTTTTTCTTCGGTTAAACCACATGCATGTCAGATATTGGAACCTTATAGCGACTTGAGTGAGAAAAGAAAAGAAAAAATAAATATACTAAAAATTTCAATCATAGCCCCTCCGGTCCTTAATATAAAGCATTTTAATTTGTCATAAGTTAAACCTAATACGTATTTTTAATAGACTAAAAAACCTTAAAAATATTTCATAACAACCAAGAGAATACACCGAATGTGAAAATTTATTTTTAAGATTTTTTGGTCAATTAAAAATGTGTACTAAATGAATCATAGGACAAAATCAAAATGCCTTATATCTAAAAGGTAAAGTAAATGTCTCTTAGGCCTAGAATTTGAGGTCTAATTGAGCAATTCTACTGGTTGAGTGGTTTTAATCCAACGGTCTGATTTTGTTTGATGATCACAATATTAATGAGGGTTAAATTTGTCATTGCATAATATATTTTTCCCCCTTTTCTCTTTTGGCAAAAAAGTTGGCGCAGAAAATGACGCCGTCTGGTTCTGTTGAGTGCCGTTTTGTGCTGCTGCTGGAAAAATCCATATTCCTCCTTTCCCCTAATTTTGAACGTCAAAACCCCCAATTCTTCCTTTCCCCTTTTGGCTAATTTTTCTTCCTCCTCCACCTCCGTCAAATCTCCTCCCTCCTCCTCCGCGCCGGCGAACGCCTCTCTCCTCTCTCCTTTATTGATTTGCTGGTTTCATTTTGTACTTTCCCACCTATTAAAACAGAAATTATGGGGGTTTGTGTATTGAAATCCTATCAGCGCGTTGGGGTTGGAAATGGTCCTGGTGGCGGTGCTCGATTGATTTTAGGGAAAAGGGTTGAATTCGGAGGTGTAAGAAGAGGGTCAGGGCTCAATCTCATTCCAACAAGCTCAGCAAGGTTGAATCTTCGATGTTTCTTTCTTACTCCAATCCCCGTTTGAAGGTGCCTCAATTTTCCTATCTTGTCTATGGTACTCAGTTTAGTTGGGTTGCATGTGTGTTATATTGGCTCTGTAGATTAGTGCAGCTTAATCATTCTTTTTAATTTTGTGTTTATAATTATTCAATCAATACTCTGATTTGAGTTGCTTAATAATTTCTGATTAATTATTGATTTTAGTTTTTGATATTTTCTGATTTTGTGGTTAATTTTGCTTGAAAGGATTAAGCAACTTGGCGGCTATGGGGTTCAAAATGATGACCGCAAAGAAGCTACTTGGGTCGACCCGGCGTTGTTGTTCTGAGGTTACACACCCCACCCACCCCGCGAATGTGGTTAAACTACTTGGCCGCAATAAATCGGGTAAATCACTCTTCACTGTTATTCCCCTTTACCTTACCTTTTAGAAAATATAGATACGATAATAGAGAATCTGGAAGTTCAACCCCAATGGAATTGGTTTTCATTTTGATTCATTCCTTTTTACGTAGATGAACTTACATGCCAATCTAAATTAAGTATTCAACTCCAGCACAAACTTTGAATTCCTATTTATAAATATACCACCAGAACATCACTTATTTTTCACTCCATTTCCAAATCTTTAAAGGTTTTACACTTCTCAGTTTCTACCAAAGAGAGGTGCTTTTTAATCTAGATATGTTTTACACTTCTCAAGTTTTGCTCTTTTCCAACTGAATTATTATGATCTTTATTGTTTGAATATGATATAATGTTTTCCAATTATTTTTGTCATGATTTGTATTATAATCCTCCACCCCCAAAAAGAAAATCTGAACTTTTTGAAACTTTTTTTATTGAATAGGATGGATGCTATTGTTCCAAAAACAGAATTGAACCACACCAACGTGCCAATTGATGAGTTGAAGGATGTCCACCGACCATGGGAAGCTGTTATTATGGTAGAGCAAAAAACCAGACCCTACCAAAAGCCTGGTAGCTCCACTAGAATGCAGAAGATGATCTTCAGTGATGATAAGGTTAGAAAATTTAGTATGATACAGAAGAAACCTTCACTTTTGAATATGCTTGCTGCTAGAACTTTTTATTTTGCTCTTCAAAATTCAGAAACTGGTTTTGTTTATTGAGGCTATTTGTAATCTGTTTAGTTGGATCATAAGTATGGTAGCTTTCATCATACATATATAATTTTAGTCCCTTTTTTTCTGCAATTGCTTATTCCATGACATGTCTATTGTGCCTTGATTCTTAATTGATAAATAGTGAAGTATGCTTATAGATATAACTACAGTTAGTGCCTGTGAAGAGAAATTTAGCTCTACCTGTAATAGACAAATTTAGTGTCAATGTGGAGTTTTGATTTAAAGTATGATTTAATCTGCATTGCCATGTGTAACATAGATGTCATATTGTACTTTTTCTGTCATTGTTGCATTAGGCATGACTGGTAAGACTGTTATGGTCCTCCTGGTTCTTAATATCTGTGTTTTACTTCAATTATTATTCTATGTACGAGATTAGGAAATATTGATCATATTGCATTTGGTTAAATACAAAGCTTTTCTATTTCATTTTTCCTGCTGATAAAATGAAAAAATATTAAATTTCTCCAAAGTTGGTGCTTGCTGGATTGCTCTCGAATGTTTATTGATTAGAAAGTACCACTCAGATTTTTCTTGGCCAGTCATTCAAAAGTTTGTGTGTCCTGTTCAAAAGTATATAGTATGTATCATTCCTCAGGTATATTGTCCTTTTTAAAATTTTTAAAACTATTTAGAAGGTGAAAAAAGTATTTATTTTTATTATTTTTTTTGCATCTTTTTTTTTTTACATGAGTATGACTTCGAATCATGAAATTGTACTGCTGTATTGTGTTGTGATGTGCTTTGTTAACTTTATAATCATTGAAACTTTTATTCTTACCAGGGTGCTAGAGTGGAAGGCATCATGTTCAACAATGCAATTGATCTGGTCGGACATAAATTTGAACCTTGTAAGAAGTACCGAATCTGCAATGCTACAACTGTCAGGAACCACGAATTGCCACCCCAAGGTATGTCAACGATTTCGATCTAACACATATTGTGTAGCACGTAGCCGTGTGACCGTTAACTTAATCGAGCAGAGCGGATCAATTCAGGCTACTGCCTTTGGAGAAATAGGAGAAAGACTGCTGGGGATGAGTTCTATAGAATTGTATGAACATCCACATCAGGTATTTTATTAGATTATGCACCTCAGACATAAATTTCAACAATGCCAAATTACTTGATCCCTTGAAAAATATAATCTGCAGGTTGATCTTCATGCAAGAAATGCTGTCCTCGAACACCAAACATACACATTCAAGCTTAGTGGGAAAGGATACTATAAAGGCCTTCGAAATTTTTCCGACGTCAACCTCATTGACGACAACCAACATTCTGAGGCCCCTCTATTGTTACCAGCACCACCAACAGCTCCAACTGACAAGACTGATGCAACTGCACTTCCCAATGTTGATCCTCCAATTGAAAAGACTGATGTGTGTCCAATTGACAAGACTGATTCAACTACACTTCCCAATGTTGATCCTCCAATTGACAAGACCGATATGTGTGATCACAGTGATGCCAGCAATGACAGTGATGGCCCACTCTTAAAGAAGAAGAAACCAGCAAAGAGTCCCAAAAAGACATCCAATTGAGCCACTTTTTTTATTCTCAATATGCATTTAGTTAGTTGAATAAAAATCTCCAGACTGATGAGATTATGTTGGTTCTTTCTTTTATTCAGCAGACCCTTGTTTTTTTATTACTACATTGGTGTTAGTTAAATCTTAGATTTTGGAAACTATTGAATGTTTTTCTCCTAAATTATCTATGAAAGCTTTTGCGATCTTTTCTTGAGAACAAAATGGCTGGCCATCAGCCATTCAGGCTCCTTATTTAGCACACACAACTTGACTCCCAAACGCATTGCAGGTCTTAGAGGATGTAGGTGATGATCTTCGACAATGCTAAGGTCAGAAAACTAAAATCTTTCAGCTATTCAACTTTAATTTGATCTTCATATGCATTTTGAAATATACCAAATACAATTCATGTTTTGAGTCCAATACTATAAAACATCAAACTCTTTTCAAACACAAACAGCTTCCTGCATATCATTACTCTTCAAATTCTGAATATTTCAGTACTGGATCCTTCAGTTGATAATTTTTTTATTGATGCTTCAGTTGTAGAATTTTTTTATTGATGCTTCAGTTGCTTTAGTTGTGGAAAAGGAATCTTTTTTTATAACCAATGTTCTATTTTTTTCCATCCAAATACAATCACAACACAAAATTTGGATCCAACACTGCTTCCTTTCATCCAGTTGATAATCAACATACTGATGAAATAGTAAAAAGTGGAAAAGGAATCTTTTTTTTTTATTCATAATGTTCTATCTTTTTCCCATCCAAATCCAATGACAACACAGAATTTGTATCCAACACTGCTTCCTTTTAATAACGTGTTGTATACTCTCTATATAAATGTTTATCTATACGCACCCATTAACAGATTATTTTTCCCTATGGACCAAAGCAGGTCTGCCAGTACAAGAGATGCAAGATTACTGCATAGACGAGCTAAAAGGCAAGCCAAGAAGCTTGATGTAGATGCTCCTGCATTTCGAAAGCCATACATCACCAAGATTCCTTTTTGCCAGTACAAGAGATGCAAGATTACTGCATAGACGAGCTAAAAGGCAAGCCAAGAAGCTTGATGTAGATGCTCCTGCATTTCGAAAGCCATACATCACCAAGATTCCTTTTGGTCACACAGAAACTGGCGTTTGGCAACCTTCCATGGCAGGTGTTAAGGATTTTGGGGTGAGTTTTCTACCATAAAATAATCTTTAAAGTTAATAAATGCTTACGTTTAGTAATCAAGTTTATGTTTCAATTGCATTTGCTTACACTCTTTTTATAGATCTTTGCAAATAAAATGGACAAAAACGCCAGTGCAAGAGCAAGACATTTTAGATTAATGCAAAGACGAGCTAAACGACAAGCAAAAAACCAACATGCGGATGCTTCTGTATTTGAAAACACATGCATCAGTAACATTCCAACTGTTGTGGATGTGAATCCTACCATTGAAGGTATTTATATACATCTAATTTAAACTCTTAAAATCAGAACTATGTGTGGTTGTAGAAAATTAAATATGATACTAATAATCACATATTGGAGGCTGGCACTTATAACTTAGATTTGGCCCTGTTGGTTTTTGTTGCTCTTTTTTAATCGGCTGCCAATTTTCCTCTTTTTGCTGTGCTACTGTGAGCATACTACTACTTGTTACTTTCAGTCAAATTGGTTGGGTTACAGTTCTTGTATTTATGATTAATGTTTCCAAGTAGCTAGCAGCATATTCTCCATACTAAGGTTGTTTTAAGTTGTTATTTTTTATGATTTGGCCTCAATTTTTATCATGGATTTTTCCTCATTGTGTTTTTCTTGTGTGTTTTCCCTGGCCTTTTTTTTTTAACAAAAACTTATATTTAGAAGGTAGTATAAAAACCACATTATATTGTAATATTGAAGTGATGTAAAATTATGATCTCCCCAGATTGCTTAAGCTTTCAATGTACTTACTGAGATTACATGGTTTTTCTCCCTCCATGAAACTGCATATCATATTACAGAAAACCTTATTAATGTTAAAGTGTCTTCTGAAAATACAACCCAATTTGTACCATCAGCCCACAGAGATAATGGTGAAAAATCAGACCTCTCTCAGCCAGCCGTTACAATCAATTTTAACGGTAACAATAGATAGTAAACTTACCTATGATTTTTCAGCATTTATTTTTTCTCAGCAATATAATATTTCACTTAATGAACTTCTGTGAAGGTGGGTTGATGGACGTCCCAATAAATGACCAGACCAACCTTTCATCTGCACGGGCAGCACAAGACCTCTCCAGTGAAGCACCTGAATCTACTCCAAACAGTAGAAAACCCCGAAGGCCTACCACCAGCCGAAAATGTTAGTCTATAACCCATCACCAGTTTACTTGCGTTTTCCTAATGTTATATTTAATTTAAGAATGAACCCCAAAATAAGTCATCAACGTTTAATATATTTTCACTCTAAGTCATTAATTAAATTTATTTGTAACACAGGTTACCTTACTAAATTTTTAATCCATTTCAGGTTATTCTGTTAATTTTGATCGTTAAATAATGACGGAAATCTATTTTTCACATGTTTTTGGGTTCAGGGGTATTTTTGTCATTTTTTTATTTTTTAATTTTTAAATTTTAATTTTTTTATAATTCTTCTTCTTATACTTCCTAATAATTTGTATATACTGGTAGTATAATTCTAAATTTTAAAAATTTATTTTCCTTTTGTATTTTAACTTCTAGGTTATAAAAGTTTTTTAAAAAAAATTAAGAAATGAAGAAGAAAAATTCGAGTTAAACTAAACATGAAATTAATAAGTTACCATTTTAAACAGAAAGAAAAATTAAAATAATTAGCTAAGACAAGTTGTTTCTTCTAGGTTATTTAATTTTTTTCAAATCGATTGAATTATTTAATTATTAATTTTCACGTTTCTTATTTCTTTTTTTTAATAATCTACAAGTTAAAATACAAATGAAAAATTAATTTTCAAAAATGAATTTATTTGTCATTTGTATCTTAACTTCTAGATTATTAAAAAAAAAAGAATAAGAAATGTGAAAATTAATAATTAAATAATTCAATCGATTTGAAAAAAATTAAATAAACTAGAAAAAACAACTTGTCTTAGATAATTCTTTTAGTTTTTTTTTTAAATGGTAAACTATTAATTTTCATGTTTACTTTAACTCGAATTTTTCTTCATCATTTCTTAAATTTTTTTAAAAAAATTTTATAATCTAGAAGTTAAAATACAAAAAGAAAATAAATATTTAAAATTTAGAATTATACTACCAGTGTATAAAAGTTAGGAAGTATAAGAAGAAGAATTGTAAAAAAAAATAATTTTTTTAAAAAGATTAAAAATTAAAAAAATAATAAAATTAAAAAAATACCCTTGAACCCAAAAGCATGTGAAAAATGGATTTCCGTTACTATTTAACGGCCAAAATTAACAGAATAATCTGAAATGGATTAAAACTTTAGTAAGATAACCTCTGTTACAAATAAATTTAATTGATGACCTAGAGTGAAAATATATTAAAGGTTGATGACTTATTTTGAGGTTCACTCTTAATTTAATTATGTTCCTATCTGTATACAATCCATCAGATTCAACAGTGGCTAGAAAAAACACCTAACCCACGTCGCCGTGGAATCGATGAGATATCTACTGAAACTCTACCATTGCCACCCGCAAAGACCTGTGAACATTACGGAGCACGTAGGTTTTTTGCAGAGCCTCCGAATTTTTGCAATGGTGGTGGGGAGATCTCCATCGTCCAATCTAAAATGCCAGAAAGCCTCATCAATCTTTACAAGTTCAGGGAAAGATTCTCCCCAGTTCAGAAAAAGTATAAGAATTTACAACAACAACCTCGGATTCACAATTTTAGGATCCACATATGATCATGAACTGGCCACTAGAAAAAAGGTGTTTACACATTCCGAGTCATGGGTCAGGTGCACCACTATCTTCACAGACTTCGACCAGGAGAGGGCAAAAATCCAAAAGGAATATAGCTCTATTTCTTTGACTCAGAGGAAGAACTGAGAACGAGACTTTATCTGACAGGAACCAGTATGAAGGAGGACACACTAAGGCACTTGATGGAGATCCTCGCAAACAATCCCTATCGAAAGTTCCTCAAAGACCTCAGGGAGGAGTCAAACCTCGATAATAAGATCATTATTCTCAACGCAGACACCAAACTGGATCACAGAAGGTATAACTTGCCAAATCCAACTGAGACTGCTGCCATATTCACTGACATTTCCAATGAGGATGTGGACTTATCAGCACACATCCAAATATATGACAAGTCAAACCAGAGATACCAAATAAAACACTATCATGGTTGTTACGACCCATTAATGTATCCACTTATCTTCCCTCGGAGAGAGACAGGCTGGTACTGTGGAATCCTCAGAAATAAAAAGAAGCGTAAACGTTCCAGCATGAACCAGCCGCAAGAAGCTCCATACATACTGCCTTCCACTATAACCACCGCTCAGGAATTAGTAGATTTGGAAGAAGCAGGTACCATTGCCATTTCACCATTTTGTATGTTTAATTTATTCATGATGAATCACCAACAAGAGATAATCACACCTATTATTTACAGGTACCGTGGAGACTTGCTCATCCACCCAAACTGTTTCTGAGAGAGAATACTACTGTTACAAACTACAAATCAGAGACGATGATCGATCCATGACACTCCACACTTTCAGACTACTCCAGCAATACGTTGTGGACATGTATATAAAGAGAATACTACTGAGAGAGAATACTACTGCTACAAACTACAAATCAGAGACGATGATCGATCCATGATACTCCACACTTTCAGACTACTCCAGCAATATGTTGTGGATATGTATATAAAGATAGAGACTGTGAGGCTAGAGTTCCACAGGAATCGGAAAGATACAAACAGGACAGAGATTCTACAAGGCGTCATGGACACCCTGAATATTGGTGAAACCCTGGCTTCCAACGTCGGTCGTAGGACATTCTTACCTTCGTCTTTCATAGGAGGCCCCAGGGATATGAGGCAAAGGTATCTTGATGCAATGGCTCTTGTCCAAAAATATGGAAAACCCGATATATTCTTGACTATGACTTGCAATTCGCATTGGCTAGAGATACAGGAAAACCTCAAGTACGGCGAGTTGCTGAACAAAAGGCCAGATTTGCTAACAAGAGTGTTTAAGGCTAAACTTGAGTTTTTGGAGATTGAACTGTTCAAAAAATAGATATTTGGAGATGTAGCCACGTGCATGTACGTCATAGAGTTCCAAAAGAGAGGGTTGCCTCACTGTCATTTATTAATCATTTTGAAGCCTGGATCAAAGCTATTGAGCCCTGCTGCTTACGATAGGATCGTCTCCGCCGAGCTGCCTTTAGAAGAAAAACACCCAATTTCTGGAGGAGGAAAGATGGAAAGAGAGTTAAGGTCCGCAACCACTGGCTGAACAACCAATGGGTAGTTCCTTACAACCCCTACCTCCTAGCACTCTTTGATTGTCACATGAATGTGGAAATCTGTTCAATGGTAAAGCTGGTCAAGTATGTCTACAAGTATATCTATAAGGGTCACGATGTGGTGTCTTACAATGTTCTCGACAGCGCCGTGGACGAAGTAGCTGACTTCCAAAATGCCCGCTGGGTTAGCCCTCCAAAAGCGATGTGGGGATCTTCAAGTTTGATCTCTACTACATGAATCCTTCAGTATACCCGTTACAGATCGACTTGAAAGGCCACCAGATTGTCTATTTCAACAATAACACCAATTTGGCAGATTTAGCATCAAGCGAAAAGGTTCAGAGGACCATGCTAACGAAATTCTTCGCAATGAACAATGCCAGTAAAGAAGCCCAGGAGCTGAATCTCCTCTACAAAGATTTCCCACAACACTTTTGTGTGGGATAAACGAACAAAAAAGTGGTGGAAGAGACAGAGAGGCGAGGTCATAGGGAGGATGGTCACAGTGAGTACTTTATTACTTTTGTACATTCCATGAATGTATTTAATCTGAACTTTCAGTCGTTTTGGATTCCATTTCATTAATACACATTGAATATCTCTTTCTATATAAACAGGTCAGCCCAAGAGACGGTGAACGCTATTACCTCAGCCTGCTTCTCTCACACGTCCGGTGCCCTAAGTCTTTTGTGGATCTGCGAACCGTGAATGGACGTCAGTTTGTTACATACAGAGAGACAACCATAGAACTTGGTCTTCTGAATTCTGACTCATATATAGAAGAAACTCTCGAAGAAGCGTGCACGCATCAACTTCCGATCACCTTACGATCACTGTTTGCTATTTTGCTTGTTTGGGGTTCTCCGGATAACCTGAGGAAGCTATGGGAAGCCTACAAAGACGAGCTGTCATTTGATTTTTGCAGAAAGTACTTGGACACTCGGAAGACCACTTTGTGCATAGAAAAACAAACCCTGAAAAGCATTAATTCTTATCTGAGACAAATGTCCAAGAGACTAACAGATTTTGGCTTCAAAGCTTCAGAGTACGATGTCGAAGACGAGCCTAACTGGACCAGAGAAGATGAGGCAGAGAGGGATTTTAGAGTTTCACCTGAGGAGACATGCCTCCATGAACGGCTGAATGACGACCGGCGAAAAGCATATGACCTGATTGTTGAAGCAATATATTCTAACAATGCACGTTCATTTTTTCTAGACGGACCAGGTGGAACTGGGAAAACTTTCCTCTACCGGGCCCTATTAGCGACTGTGAGATCTAAAGGCCATATTGCAGCATCAGCCCTACCTGGGGGACAAACTGCGCATTCGCGTTTCAAACTCCCTGTGGATGACAAAGAAGGATCCACATGCCAGTTGAGCAAACAGATTAGTGTCGCAAAACTGATAATCGATTCCAAACTAATAGTTTGGGATGAAGCATCAATGGCAAAGAGAGCGCTGTTGGAATCATTTGATATTGTGTTGAAAGACTTGATGAGCTCCCAAAAATCATTTGGCGGCAAAGTAGTGGTCTTCGGTGGAGATTTCCGACAAACACTACCTGTTATTCCTAACTCCTCAAGACAGGACACAGTCGAAGCCTGCATTATAAATTCCTACCTGTGGCCTACAATCCCAACAAACTCACAATAAACATGCGGGCACTGTTGGACCCTCTATTTGCTTCGTTCTTACGCAGTGTTGGAGAAGGTAGAGAAGAAGTAGATGAATCATCACAGATTAATTTGCCCAAGGACATAGTAATCCCTCATGAAGACAAGGAAAAGTCACTCAACCGGTAATTTACTAAAAATCTCTAATTCTAATTATGTTGTGTATGCTTTTTTCAAAATTTTTTGTAGCATATTCATTGAATTGAATCCAGATAATAAATCATGCTTTAAGAGATTTAAGTAAGGGTGTATTTATATTCTATTAAAAAATAATTTATTTTATTAAAAAACTTAAATTATAAAGATGTATGTATAGCAATGAAATGAGTCTGGATACACAAATTTTCATTGCCTTGATTTGCTTCAGTTGGTTCAGCTTGTTTTGGATTTCGTAACTTGGTGAACGGTGTGGATAACTAATTCATATCTTAACTAATTTCTCAAATCCAGGAATTTGAAAAGTGAATACTCTTTTGTTCTTACATTTAAGGTTAAAGTATTGTGATGTTGTAAATTGTTGTACGAATTATGAATACAAATTCCAAATATCAGTATTTGTATCTTAAAACACCACTTTTGCAAGTTGGTTGGATCAGTATTCACTGATTTAGAATATTGTGCTGAAAATCCATACTACATGATAAGACGGTACATTTTGGCGCCAAAAAATAATTCAGTAGCCGACATTAATGCAGAACTGATAGAGCGTTTTCCAGGAAACCCGGAAGTTTATACAAGTGTAGATAGAACTATAGATGAGAAGCTTCAGGTGGATTATGAGGATTTTCTATACAGCTTAAGCCCAAAAGGGTTACCTCCACATAAGTTAATCCTCAAAGTAAATAGTCCAATAATACTTCTACACAACTTGAACCCAACAGAAGGCCTCTGTAACGGAGGACGATTTATATGTAAAGAGCTAGGAAAGCATGCAATCAAGGCAGAGATAGCTTTCGGACCCCATACAGGTAAAATTGTATTTTTGCCAAGAATTCCTCTCACCTCCAAAGATGCAGGGTTGCAGGACATTCAATTCAAGAGATTTCAGTTTCCTGTCAAACTTTGTTTTGCAATGACCATTAATAAGTCCCAAGGACAGACTCTCGACTATGTTAGACTATATTTGAGTGAGCCTATTTTCTCTTACGGGTAATTATATGTTGCACTATCTCGTGCAAAGACATCCAAGTCACTCAAAGTACTCATTATGCCGCCTACATTAGACGAGCAGGTCCATGATACCAAAACTAGAAATGTAATCTATCATGAGATATTTGACATGGCGGGAAATTAAATTCAATGTACCTTTCATTAGAATTCTTTAGTTCAGACTCAAACTCTATTATGAGTTTATTTTATTTTATTTCTTTCATATTTTCAAATAAATTTCAAAGTAAAGAGAATTCAATAAATTTCACAATAGGTTTGACAGTTGTATTATAATTTTTCATTGTTATGGCCTTACTACATTGTGCTCATTAAGATATATACTTGTTTGTTTTCATTCGACTCTTTCCTTTAATTTGATGGGGGTACAAATGCAAGTGATTGTGGGTACTTTTTTCATTATTATGCCCTTCATTGGACTCTTTCCTTTAATTTGATGGGTTATTAGGTTTACCAAATGTTCAAATGAAAGTGATTGTGGGTATTAACACTTAGAAAATAATTTTTAAAATTAGTCCATACAATGATAGATTACATCAAAAACAATTTATCAACTTACAAATAAAATGCGTCGCGTATTGCGCGACGAATGTCAGAACTAGTTAAGGACCAGAGGGAGTATTTTGTTAGCTGTCTTAAGTTGAAAGTGCTACGTTGCAATTATTCTCAAAGTTTCGATAACTTAAATTACGCCCTTAATCTGGCAACTAATTTATGCCCCACCCCGAATATATCCGGACCCAAAATTTGGATCGAATAAACTGATTTTTAAACAGCGAATCTCTGAGCAGTAGTATCAGAAAGAAGAAACGAAGAAGAGGAAAGATAATATACCAGTTGGAAGGAAGGGAAACGACGCCGTAATCGAGAAAATCCCAAGGGAAGAGAAAGCATAAAAACAGAGAACAGAGGTTAGAATTCCCAGGTCGCCAAGATGAAGACCACTAAAGGTGGTAAAGTTATGAACCCTACCGATGCTTATCGGAAAGAGCTTCGGAAAAAAGAATTGAAACGGGTAATTTTTTATTTTACTTTCTTTTTTTTTTTTTGATTCTCGTTTGAATGCAACTTATCTCTTCGTGTGCTGTGATTTTGAATTTAATTCTCCGCTCCCTTTTTCGTATAGTTCGCTTTTGCAAGTTCTGTAACTTTGTTTCGGATTCTAAGTTTGACTTGTGTGTGTGTGTGTGTGTGTTTTTTGTCCATTTATCTGAATAGAAGTGCTTGATGAAAAAAATGTGCTATTTGGAATGTGTTTCTTGTTGTTTAAAATATTGTTATGCTTATGAAACCTCTTTTTTTTTTTTTTTTGGCATTTGTTTAGAACAAGAAAGAGCGGAAAAAGGTACGGGAAGTGGGAATCTTGAAGAAGGATCCTGAAACACTCATGGACCAAATATCCAAGCTCGAAGCAATGAGTAAGTTTCTCGCAAGTAAATTCTCTTATGGGTTTCAGACTTGAAATTTGTTGTCTTGCGACGTTGCTTCTAATTTGAAATCAGCATTTAACTATATTTGTGAAATATATTTAGTTTTTTGATGTGCTTATTGATATAAAGAATAGTATCTTTAAGAAGATTTCAACAACCAATAGCGAAGGCTTTATCGTGTTTCTGGTGTTAGCTATCCATAAGAACTTTGAGTGGATAATTATTAGCAATTCTGTGAATAGGTCTCAATTGATATTTTTCAGTTCACGCGGCATAGTCTTAAATGTAATTGACCTAGTAAATAGACAATCTTTTATCTCTTCACATAGTATTCGCCAGTTTATTGGGTTTTTTTTTTCCTGTGGTCCATACATTAGTCTTTGCATTTCCTTAGAGGCAGGTCGTTGGACATTTAAAATTAACTGGTATAAGTTCATAGATCAGTTAGGATTCAGATCTATACTCAGTGTACTGACCATGAGGATTGTCAGCAATTGCACTAGTTTAATCCACCCTGCCTGTTTAGCTCTGTAACATACTCAAGCTATAGGCTGGTGAGCTGACAACTTTGCTTGTTCAAAATTGGGCTTTCAGTTCCTCGTTTAAATGTTAGAATTTCGGTTTATATATCTTGATTTCTTACAATTACAGGATAGTCAATGTCACTGACTGTATTAACTTTGATAAACATAAATTTCTTATGAGTTTGCTTTGTGACTAATAGAACTTCATTGTAAGAATTTTGTGTGTTTCTATGGAAACTAGATGTAGGCCGTTCTCAGAGAAGTGACAGGTTTTGTAAGATATTTAGCCCTGATTTCTTGACATAAGAGCTATGTTTTATGGTTTAGTCTCCCCACCAGATCTTGAGTTGTTGATTATCACCCTCGTGTTTCCTTCCGTGGTAGTTGGTTGAAGGAATTGTGGGGCCTAGAGAGGCAGGCTTAGTTATTGTGAAATTTTTGGAATATGTATTTGTTGAAGCATTATGCTCTGGATAACTTAGATTAAAAGGGGACGGAGGGAAGGGAAGACCTTACAAGAATTGAAAAGAAAGCAATATAAACTTGAGCTTAAGTGGAAAGATGTGTTTTTGTTAGATCATGAAGGCAACATATGTTCCTTATATCTGATCTATATGTTGTTGGAATATAGAAAAATTGTACTCCCTCTGTCCCGATTACTCAAAGTGAAATCCAAACCGGCAATCATTTTGTATTAGACGTGAATTCCAAACCGGACAATCATTTCAGAATGGAGGGAGTATTATGCTATGGGAGCATTGTGGAATTTGTCTACAAAATGTTTCAATATAGAATTCCCCTTCCCTTTGCTTTGGTTTTTGTGTAATCCAATGTGAAGTATTTAAGTATGTAATGTTGGTCCTGTTACATTGCTCTTAATCTAATTGCTCTTTGCCCTAATTTAATTTAGTTTTTGTTTTCACTTTGATCTTGTGAAAATATTCAAAATAGTTTCTTCTCTTTACCCTCTGAAGATGCAATTTTTGGTTTCATATGACTTCTTTTGCCATGCCGAGAAATCTGAATGTAGAAAGGAGTTGTAGTAGGTTCTTTTCTTAAAAAAGTTTTTTTGAGAAGAAATCATGGCAGTGTAAGGTTAGCAAGGAGGTGGAGGAACAGAATTTTCAGCCATCCATCCAGATTTTCCGAGGAGTTGTGTACCAAAGTAAGGATGTTGTTGATCCGTAGAACTCAACTGTTCGGCAAATCAAGCTCGAATTAACTTTGTTTAATTGTTGTATCAAAACCTATGCCAAAAAAGAAAAATCATAAGAGGAAGTGTTGGTCTTGATTTGATAATATAATACATATAGATAAGTGCAGATTAAGTTTAGAACAGCTGGAAAGATTGGGCAGCCAATCTTCAAGCCAATCTAGGCTATTTTTCCTGGCAACCTTTTTTTGCTTTTCTTTTTTGTATCCTACATTGCCGGTATCCTGTCTGCAAAGTAGCCATCTTCTGCGCAAGCCAGATTGTGGCAAAACTTTGTCCTTTTCTGTATTTAAGCACTTGTCGTCATCCTCCAAAGAGGAAAAAAGATTGGGCAGCCAATCTTCAAGCCAATCTAGGTTATTTTTTCTGGCAACCTTTTTTTGCTTTTCTTTTTTGTGTCCTACATTGCCGGTATCCTGTCTGCAAAATAGCCATCTTCTGTGCCAGCCAGATTGTGGCAAAACTTTGTCCTTTTCTGTATTTAAGCACTTGTTGTCATCCTCCAAAAAGGAAAAAAGACTCTTGTCGTCCTCACACTTGGTTTAAATCTTCAGTAACTGTATCATATCTTTTAAATTATGGCTGCTTAACATGTGTTTAGTTGATATTTCAGAGTGTTTACAGTGCCTTAAAATGCTTCACCTTACTCAATGCAGAGGCTGAAGGAGCTCTTGATAAAGCAAGAAAGCACAAGAAGCGACAACTTGAAGATACACTGAACTTAGTCATGAAAAAGAGAAAGGTGAAGTTTCCCTTTCTTTTTTTCTTTTGCTCATTTGATTCTATGGCATTTAACATGAAGAAAAGATAGTCCTTTTTCTACCTTTTAAGCAAACGCTCTTTGTAATTTGATACAGAAAGAGAAATTCTAAGAAGGATGAGATTAATAAGTATGAGAATGATACTATCATCATGGAGAAAGTGTGCTAGCTGTCTAAATTTCTCTTAAATGTTGACATTACATTTAGTGATTGGTGGCAATGTTCTGTTACTTGATACAGAAAGAGAAAGGCTAAGAAGGAAAACTAACAATGTTAATGGAGAAGCACATAAATGGAAGAAATTTCCAAGATCAACTTTCTTTGCATGTGGATGAACAAAGTAATCAGCATTTTCTTGAACTTTATTGTTAAACTCATTATGCAAGATAGGAAAGGAAATGAATTAAAAGAAAATGATATGGAAAGGAAGCAAGCATATGAATGAAATGAGGTGACATTATGCATAGTGATGTGTTTGTCATGGAATTTATAAATCTTGATGAAGAGTCTGATTTGCTTTTTGTAAGCAGGAATACGAGGAAAAGAAAAAAGAGAAGGGCGAAACTCCAGTGATGTTCAGGTGAGGATGCTTTTATTGAAATGATTTTAATTTTCGAGTGTATCTATTCAATTTCTTCTTGAATCCTGAATCATGTACATTCTTGTATCGTCTTTGTTGCAGCCATCTGGGACCCGTTCGTAAGAATGCTGCGGTAGAGGATGAAAGAGAGAAGCATCCAAATGCAGAGGCATGGTTTCTTTTTGTGTTTTTTGTTTGTTTTTGTTTCCTTAAATTTTTATATTGCAAAGTCAAATTCAGCTTGCTGTCTTATTTAGCTGTACCTTGATGCAGGACTCCGTTTACTACCATCCTACATTAAATCCTACAGGAGCTCCTCCACTAGGAAAGCCTCCAATGTTTAAATCGTCAATAGGTTTGTATTCTAATCATTCATCTTATGATCATCTATTGGTCTTGTCTGACCTTTTATTTATATTTTTCGCTATTGAAATTTCAGGACCTAGAATTCCATTATCCACAGCTTCATCAAGTGGTGCTGCATCTTCGTCGACACTGGATTCCTACAATGGAATGGATGCTTTGTTATCTTTTCCTCCACCACCACCTCCTCCTCCTCTACCTCTTACTGGTGACGTAAATCCCAGTGATGCATCTGAATTGCCTGCATCCTTGCCTTTGCCACCACCCCCTCCTATGCCGCCAAATCCTCCAGTTACGGACTCGGGGGTGTTGTTATCACCACCACCTTTGCCGCTGCCACCGCCACCACCACCTGGTCCCAAAGACCAGATTTATACTCATCCTCTGCCTCCTCCTCCCCCTCAACCTATTCTTCCATCTGTCCAACATCCATCTCCGCCTCCACCTCCAGGATCTGGTGTGCATGAAATGCAGAAGAGTCATCCTACAAAAGCTGAAAACGCCACTTCGGGGGATGTTTTCCAGGTTAGCCCTTTTCCAGTATCTTTCGAGAGGGACAAATGTAGTGTTTCTTTGTTTGATACAATGCCGCTGTCCGAACACCTTCTGTTTTTTATTAGTTAAATGATGGAGATAAATGGAAAGTTACTAAGGGTACAAGAGATGTGGTGAAATGGATTCGACGCCCACACTTCAGTGTGCATATTCAGGGATGGTTGACTGGGGGGAAACTGAATTTAAGACCTTAAATAAATCATTGATGTCTTTAGTCAGTGATTTGCTCCAGGGGTTTTCTTCTTTAAGTAATTTCTGAATGTATCATTATGATGTGTTTCAGTATATCTGCTGCTTCACTGTAATTTTTCATTCTCAGTTTTCCATTTTCTCTTTTTTGCTCTATTTGAAGCCCAAAATTCCAGGTGTGTGGTGGATCTTATTTTGAATTCTGTAAATAATGTTTTTTTCACTCGGAGATGTCGTTGTAATGAATATATTGTTGAACAGTACTCTTCTTTTAGGTTGCATATGCAAATTTATCTTGGGTTTGATTCCTAGTGTTCCCGGGCGATTGACTTTCAATTCAATTTAATTATGGAGCTTTCTTCTTGTTTGTGTTCTCTGCATTCTGAAACTCGAGATAAGTTTCGCAATCTGTTCCTCATTAAAACGTGTTACTGCATTATTTAAATGAATGAACGATTTGTTTCTCTATGCAGGCAACACCAATGCTTCCTCCACCTCCCCCACCTCCACCTACGGGTTTGCCACCAAAGGTGGGTAATAATCAGTTGGAAGGAACATCTGATTCAGATGCTAAACCTCTTGACTATAATAATCTGCACAAAATGATACCACCACCCCCACCACCTATCAGGCCTCAGGTCCCAGTGCCTAGTCCCTTGGTCCCAATGCTTCATTCTGATGTTTTGCCTCCTGGAATTCCGAGATTTGGCCTTCCCCCACCTCCACCGCCTCCAGCACTGGTTGGGCATGCTTCACCTGGTGTTATGGTTCCAATGGTTGCAAGACCTCCGTTTGGGCCTCCACCGATGATGAGACCACTGCTGCCTCCTGGTCCGCCACCTATGCCACAGGATGATCCTAGTGCCAGAGCACCAGTTCCCCAGAAACCATCGTATGTCAAAGCAGCGGCGTCTACTGTTGTTAAGAGGCCCCTAGCTCAGCATACACCAGAGCTGACAGCTATGGTGAGTTTAGTTTCCATTTCTTATTTACTTGTGCATTCGGTTAAACATTGTATGAAGGTTGTTTCGATTGCGATTCATAGACTTTAAGCTGGAAAATTGGTTGAGAATTGGTTATTGGAGTAAGATTGTCAATTGTCTAATATTTGTGCATGTTACCTTAAATAACTTTTGCGGTTTTTTGTGCATATCTCTGATATTATTTTGAGCCAATTTTTTAGTATTCCTTCCTTTTGCTGTTTCCTTTTTTTTTTTTGCCTGGTAAAATCTGAAAGCTTCTTATTCTTGAGCTGCTTGTTATATCCTCCATGACTCCATCCGTTTTAGTTCAGGTTTTGTTTTAAATATGATGAAAGTACCCCGACAATTCTGATCATTTTTCATAACCCTTTGTGAGATCTTTTTTATAATAACCAACTCCTGTAACTGCAATAGTATCTTTTGTTTAAAAATTAAAGTTGAGGCTTTGGTTTATTGTGTTGTTGATTGTTTCTAAATTTTGAACGTGTAGAAATTTGATTTTCTTTCATCCCGAGTGTCATGTGAACTGTATTTGGCTGATGGTTGTGTTAGATAATGCCTTTATTCTGTATTTGAAAGATTCTTATTTTGGATGTTCTGCTTTCAATACTCCACTAATGTAATTATCCGTGTTGTTTGGACGTTGTGGCTGCAGGTTCCTGCATCTGTTCGTGTAAGACGAGAATCTGCAGCACCAAAAGCAAAACCAAAGCCATCAACAATTACAGCAGTCAATCGGCCTGCAGCTGCTACTGTATCTATAACCAAGCAAGAATCAAGTGGCTCGTCTTCCGCATTGAAGCCACAGAGTATTGACGACTCGTATTTGGCATTCATGGAGGATATGAAAAAGATTGGTGCCCTAGATAGTTGAGCTAGCTGAGCTGCTTCATAGATTTGAGAACACTGACTCAGCTATTCTATTTTTCTGAGGACATTAGTAAGATTATTTAAACAGTGTTTGTTATAAACTAAATTTGATCTTTCTACTAATATAAACAGACAAATATTATCGATAACAGATTATTTGGATTAAAAATAAAATAGAAAAATTATTATTAAGGGTGTAAATGATAAATTTTCATTGCCACGTGGTTCAAATATGAAAAGAAGTAAACGGGTGTCATTTTATAAAGATTAGGGTGTCTGTTTTTATAATTTAATGGGGTCATTTTAGAATTTAGTCATTTTAATGTGTCAAAACTTAAAAAGTTAAAAGAAAATGACGCAATCTGATTGAGCCACATGGCTCAATCTAGTCCATCGAGGCCCTTAAGCGGACTCTTGCTTTATGCAAGAAAATCGCATTCCTTCTATGCGGTTTTGACCGATTCAAACGGCGCCACTAGATTGAGCCATAGTCCATGAAAGAAACCACATTCGGGCTATGTAGTTTTGACCGAGAATGCTGTCTTTATCAGCATCGCTTTCACATCCTTTTAAAACAAATAACACCATACAACCAAACCATTACACAAGCACCAACAAATGTTCAACAATATTACATAAATAAGAGAAGGTTCATACCTTTTTAAATAACACAAACAATCAAACCATTACACAAGCACCAACAAATGTTCAACAACTACACAAACAAGAGAAGGTTCATACCTTTTTAAATAACACAAACCACAACAAATGTTCAACATCTACACAATTAATTGATTTTTGATGTACCATCATTAGGCACACCCTTTATTCCAAATGGATCATATTTATGATCAAGAGGAGTCATGTCCCAAGGTGGATGAGAATTAGGGCATTTGTCAGCCTTATGACCTTGTTGTTAACATCGGCTACAAGTTGGTTCTCGACGACTCCCACGATTTGAATAACCTTGGACACCCTTTTTCCGATTCATCTGCTTCCTACCCTTCCCAGAATGATGAACCAATCTTGTGTCATCTGGTATGAGCTTCCATGGTATAGCTGGGCCACGTCCATGAACCAGGGCAAAGTCTCCAGAGAATTGGGCGATCCAACCTTCCCTCGTGTGACAAGGATCTACTAAGGAAATGGGATCACGATCCAACGTGATAGCAACAATAATAGTATGAGAGCATGGAAATCTGTACGTCTGCCACTTCAAATATGTGCATATACCTGCACCAAACTGAACTTCATGGGTCTTGCATCCCTTCCATGGCCTGTTGTCGTGTGGTCCTGTAACAACTTCGTACAACTGCCTCTGTTGACTAAAAACGGTCACTTTGTGCCGCATACCACGCAACCTCCATTTGTTATACTTTGCCATGTAGTGTGGGGTGAGGACAGTCTGACATTTCTCAATTTTTTTCATAATTGTCATTAAACAACTTGACTGTCTTCAACAACGTGGATTTAATTAGAGCTATGATTGGCAAGAGGCATGCACCTTTCAAGGCGTTGTTGTAACTCTCCGAGGTATTTGTGGTCATTACACCCCAACAATTCCACCATCTCTAAGTAGGGTTCATTTATTTGCTCTGATGCTATCAAGCCGCTCTGCAGCTGTTGGATTTTTACTGGCCAACTTCTCCCACGCCTTTACGCACTTTGTCACGTTCAGTGTGGCCAACTCTCTGACAAAGGGGTCTCAACTTCTGCCCAAGAAATTTTCCTGCAATGTTAGCCTTGATGTGCTCTAAGCAGAATCTGTGCACGCCCATATCAGGAAATCATCCGAGCATCATGTCCATAGCAGAAAGGATACCCAAGTACCGATCAGAGATAATGCATGTCTCCCTGTTCTGGATAACAAATTCCGTCAAACATTTCAGGAACCACTTCTAGCTGGGAAAAGTCTCCTCATCTACTAAGGCAAATGCTACAGGAACAATGTTGTTATTCACACTATGGACCTCAAAGGTGGGTTGCGTCGATACTAACAACCGGTATAGAAGTATGAAAACAAATTATAGATGGCCAGAAAGCCCAAAAACATACCTCAATACCCTCTTGTCTAAATCTTTATTGCCTTTTGCAAACTTATACTTCACCTTAGTACCAGGGTTGGTTGCGCACAGTGCAGACATAAAATCGGGCAAATCTTTGATATTATCTTCCTAACTACCATAAATACTATCTAGTGATTTCCTCCTCCCATGCCATGCCTTCTTGTAGCTTACATTCACATGGTACACATCAAAGACATTTTCTTGAACCAGCTTAACTATGTAAGTTGGCTCTAACCGAACACTAGGAGTAACAAGTCGAGCAATCAGTGTCGAAGTCACGTTTTGGCTGTCTTTCTTGTTGTTTTCCCCAGGACAAGTATGGGAATCCGACCATAGCACCACTTTCCATAAGTCTGTATCATCCTGCTTCGCCACCCGTACCCACCAATTGCATGGTATGCCGCTAAGGCGCTCTTGAGGATACTTTGGAGATGATGTCGCGCATTTTACACACCATCTTGACCCATCAGATTTAACAGTGATGAAAGTTCTACCTCGATCAGTGGACCATTTAGCCACAGCATCTTGCGCATCATCCTTGCACAAGAAATATATCCCGGCCTTAATATGATCAATGACACCGTCCCATAGCTTTTCAGCATAAGTATCATTCTCTATAAGAGGATTGTCCCATCCACTTATGTCAGCGTAAGCCTCATAAGCCTTCCATCTGGGATTAACAAATGCACTAGTGTCATTGCCATCTTCTTCATCAGAGGATTCACCCGATGGGACGTGTTTGTCGTCACTACCAGCCTGTTCTGTAAAGCCCCAGCTGCTAGGTCTGGCCCGATAACTATTTGGGTGTTCGTCCTCCCTGCACCCAAAATGGTTAACCAAGTTACCAGTAGAACATGCAGCTTGAGCTTATATATTGATCACTGCCACCAATCGTAGCCAATGTGGGACAAATGACCACATGCTAGCTTAAGTTCGAGGGTATCACACTCGACCCCCCTCTGGATCCTTGCGTCCCCGCAAGGCCCAGTTCACACAGACACACTGTACAACACACAGTACCAGCACGTACAGTTGGCCAAGGCTCCTCTAGAACAGATGCGTTTCACTTGTCTCACACCTCCTATGAGCTCAGAGGTGTCACACAACACTTGTCTCCTACGTGCTTAGAGGTGGGTCCGTACCCTGACTAGGTCGGCTCTAATACCAATTGTAATGCCCTAACTGCTAGGTCTGGCCCGATAACTATTTGGGTGTTCGTCCTCGCTGCACCCAAAATGGTTAACTCAAGATACCAGTACAACATGCAACTTGAGCTTATATATTGATCACTGCCACCACCCGTAGCCGATGTGGGACAAAGGACCACATGCTAGCTTAAGTTTGCGGGTATCACACGTTCCCTGCTTCCTCTTCACCCCTTTCATCTTCACTGTCTTCATTTTAACTATCAGCACTTGTACCTGTACCACTTGTACCTGCACCACTTGTACCTGCACCAGTAGCTTGCCCAGATGAACTTGCATGATTAAACCCACCAATTGGCGCAAAACAAACGTACAATTCAAGCCAATGCTGTGACACTAGGTATATTAACGGTATACCCTCGTCGTCATGAATATGCATATACCCCCTTCTACCAGAACTATCGTTCCACACAAGAACAAAACTTATTTTCACCTTTCCCTTATCAAAACCAGCAGTTCTCCAGACCTTGTCCACGAAATCAATGTAATTCAACTCGCGGTCAATAAATATTGTTTTGTCTGCCACTCTGTTGTTCACAGCAACAATTCAATTTACAATTTCAATACTGCTAGTCCAGCACACATTCAGACCAAACAGACAGGGAAAGACATTTTGGATACCTGTACAAATAATTTAAACCCAAAATTAAAATGTATCCAATAATTAATACAGAAAATATATAGCGACAGTCCGATTTAAATACTTTATTCAACTGTCTAATTTAAATAAATTACTTATCTCATCTTCCCATCTATACATCTATCAGATCTGTATTCTAATCTTTTCATCAAAAAAGAATCTATATTCTAATTTCGTTCCTATACCCAACATAAAGTCTAGAATTAGTTCAACTACATATTCATCTTTAAAATATATACATTCAACCAATTCACCCATTTCATACATCAACATTATATCATTCATCTCGTAATTCTACAATAATATATAAAGACAATAATCTATGCATTTGAGGGTGCAAATCTAAACATTATTCATATGACAAAGAGTAGAAACATACCAAAACGATTCAAACAACAGTCCTTCTTTCAAATTTTTGCATTGCTTTTGCTGGAATTTTGCATTTCTGATTGGAAGCTCTCAAAGCTGAAAATCATTCAAAAAAGGATGGAAGAACTGCCCGTTCGCGTTGTGTTTTGGCAAATATTTTTACCGAATTCCGCATAGGACGAATGCGGTTTTGTAAGCTTTTTTGTTAGCTTCTCCGCCACGTGTCGTTACCGCAAGACTTGTTCAAATTTTCTGGATTAGATTTAAAACCGCATAGGAGGAATGCGATTTTGTTTTCCGCAAACAGACTATGCGGTTTCTTGATTTGAAACATTCAAATTTTGCCGCCTTATGAAATTATTTTTTTAAAATTTAAATTGTCAATTCCGCATTCAAGTTATGCGGATTTAGTTTATTAATTTTTTATTCAACACATCCATGTCTTCTTCCATATCCAAAACCACAAAATCTGCTGGGTAAACAAAATTCTCAACCTTCCTTTGGATAGGTTAATGACCTGTCTGCCAACTGCAATGTCATGTTAGTAGGCACCAAAAAATTATCCAGACCAAGTGATTTAAACACAGATAATGGCATGAGATTTATACTTGCACCAAGATCTAGCAATACTTTTGAAAATTCTCTGATTCCTATAGTGCAAGGAAGAGTGAAACTACCCGGATCTTTTAGTTTAGGTGCCAGTTTTCTTAGAATAGCTGCACTGCATTCTTCATTTAGAGTAATAAAAGCATAATCATGCACTTGTGGTTTAGTAGCTACTAGATCTTTCAAGTACTTGAAATATTTAGGCATTTGTTTAAGTGCATCAACAAGTGGAACATTGATATGTTTGTTTTCCAAATTTTGAATAAACCTATTGAGCCCTTCATCCACCTTGGCCTTCTTATGTCTCACTGGATATGGTGGTATTGCATCATGTGGCTCCTGAATTGGTGCTGGGATTTTGATTTCCTCCATTCCAGATTTTTCCACTGATTGCTCCTGTTCAACCAAATGATCATCATCAGATCTTTTCTCAGAAGATGTTTCCTTATTACTTGCAGGGTCAATCGCGGGAGTGACTTTTTCACTTGGCTGAGTGAGCTGTTTTCCACTTCTGAGAGTGATAGCCTTTGCTTGCTCTTGATCATTTCCCTTGGGATTGACAATTGTATCACTTGGTAGACTTCCAGATGGTCTTTCAGCATTCTGCTTTGCAATCTGAGCCAACTGATTTTCCAGACTCTTGCAAGACACAACCAAATTCTTAATTGTATTCTGCACAGAAATCCATTCATCTTCCCTTGGTATGTATTGCTGATTAGAACGCTGTTGATTCTGATAATTGAAAGGTTGGCCGTCTTGTCTTTGAAATCCTGGGGATTGAGTAGGCCTCTAATTGTTTCCTTGTTGTGGTGCATTATTCCAGTTGGGGTGCTGCCGATTTCTCGAATTGTTGAAGTTGTTGAATCCTCCAGCATTGCCCTGCCTAACAAACTGGACAGCCTCCATTTTGGATGGACAGTTATCCAAATTGTGAGATCCATCACATAATACACACACTTCAGCCTTGTATTTAGACAACTCACTCCTCAGTTTTGTCATCTCATTCATCATCACAGCCATCTGTGCTTACAGGTGTGTACTGGGGTTAAGTTCCATTACTACTGGTTGCTTTGTACTTGCTCTTGGATCAGATTGCCACCTTGAATGATTGGTGGTCATATTACAAGCAATTGCCTTGCTGCATCAACCGGCTTCATCATGAACACACCACGAGCTGTAGCATTTGTGGCTGGTAGCAAACCATTGTAGAAGATGCTCAGTTGGAGGTGCTCTTCCAAACCATGCTGAGGGCATTTTCTGATCATTTCCTTCAATCCTTCCCATGCTTCATAGAGTGTTTCTGTTCCATGCTGCTTGAAATTCATTATTGCAGTTCTGAGTTGTGCAGCTTTTGCAGGTGGAAAAAACTTTGTAAGGAAGCCTTGTCTTAACTCTTCCCAAGTGGAGATAGAATTGTTGGGCAATATGTTGAACCATACTTGAGCTTGATCCTGCAAAGTAAAAGGAAATAACCTCAATCTAATGTCATCATTGGATAAGCCTTGAATCTTAAAAGTACTGCATAAACGCAAGAAACTTCTAATATGATCATTAGGATCTTCATGAGGTAATCCACGGAATGGGCAGGCTGACTGAGTCTATTGGATCATCTGTGGTTTTAACTCAAAATTGGTTGCCTCCACATCAGGGAATACTAATGGGGATTGGACTTCTTCTTGTTGTGGAATAAAGAAATCTCTGAGCAATCTCTGAGGTTGATTCTGTCGATCACCACCAGGGTTCCTATTGTTCTCCGGGTTACCACCTTGGTTAGCCATTTTTTATGAACCTTTTTGGCGGTTCTGTTACAACCAATCTTACTTTCTTTTTGCTGCTCTGGCTCTGCGTATAGTAGCTTCAATTTCCGGATCAAAAACTGGTTCACTTCGTTGGTGACTTCTAGTCATACACCAAAGAAAAGAAATTAGAAGCTCAGTGGAATAACCAGAGAAGGGTTTTTTTTATATATATATTCATAAATGAAAAAAACAACAAATTTCTGGAGGTTTTACGCCGTCCCCGGCGACGGTGTCACTTTCTGGTGTGTGTCGAATTCACCAAAAATATATACTAGCTGAATTATAACTTTTTGTAGATAATAGAAGTTAGGTCGATCCCACGAGAATAGCTAAATCACCTAATTTGTTGTTAACAGACTACCAGTTCAGGCAAGGTGTCACTCAGGGGAATGAAAAAGTTCACTCAGGGGACTACAGTCCAGGGGTGTTCATCTCCTCTTCCTATGCAGCAGTTGTGTAATTTACACTTTAATGGTTAAGTTCTTGTTCATTCGGCTCAGATGTAACTCTAAGTCAGTTTCCGTTTTTCATAGAGTCATCTTTGTAACCTTAACAATCTATTTTCTAATGATTGAGTTCAGTTATAAAGTCATTAAGATCTCAGGCTTCATGAATACTTATGTCAACTAAATATATTCCTACCTTAGTTAAAACCATAGATTGTTGCCTCTATGTCACAAGTTGAAGTTGAAACAATCCGAACCAAGTTTATCTTTCCAGAGATCCCCTAGTTCTAGTATGCATTGAATTGGTGATCAAGTAACTGAATGTAGAAACACTTCCAACTTCAAAACATAGAACAAAACCAGTGCATTACAACAACTACAACGTAGGTTGAGGAGATTAACCCCTGGAAGCTATTTAGCTACTCATACTGGTTGATGCTACTGCTACTACTTCAAAAGACATCATAGAAATATGCATCAGTGAATTGAAATACAAGCTAACAGTTAAGAGAAGAAGACAGCTTATGCAATTCAAGGTCACTCCTGGGAGTGACAGAGTTCACTCAGAGGAGTGAACCAATGACTGGGATGACTGTTCTTCAACTCTGCCTCTTGCTGAGTTGTTGTTGTTCTTCCTTGATCTTGCCTTCCTTCTGGAGTTTTTCTGTGTGTTCCAGTCGACTGAGATAAGCTGAGATAGATGTTCAATGCTGGAAATGCAGCTCCTCTTTATAGAACTTTTTTTTTTTTACCGGTTCCTCTCCCTAGAGAGCCCTTCCATGCTTGTGTATTTTTTTAATTGCCCCAATACTTTGTGTCTTGAACCCCGAATTGACTGATCTTTCCTTCTTCTTCCAGAGGTGGTATCAGTAGCTGTATTGATCACAAGGGTGAGCCAAGGAGAGAAGCATGCTCTTGGGGTTCTAAGGTGGGACACCCTCATTACTCTCAAGGTGCTTTATGTCTTGGAGTTGGTTTTGACCAGATCAGCCAACTTGAATTCATAAGTCCATATTTTTGTTCCAAAAGCCTCTTTTTTCAGCTAATGCTCACTCGGGTCCTTGCCTAATTAAAAACACAAAACCAGTTAAGTAAAATGAATTAATTCTGTAAAACATCCTTAATTTCCTACTAATTAAAGAGTAAATTATCATGCTTTTATGTAACAAATTAATCGTTATCACCCCCCTCCCCCCGAGATGCCATTGTTGCGAGTCTCTCGGCAACGATTGATCCGCTTTTTGCTCGGACGAAATTGTAGGGCTTTCTTCAAGAAGCAAAGAGAAACTGGGTTTCTTTCGATTTTGGTTGTAGAATTTATTTGGTTTTTCTAATTTCCGGAAATTTTATTGAAAAAGAAAAAAAAAAATGTAATATGGAGGAAATTCTCAATTTCCCCCTTTTACGATTTTTCTTTTCCATAGTATCCAATTTTTGGGCAGTCATACATATAGTCTATTTCGTGTTAATTTAAGACTTTAATTTCATCTTATATGTGGATGATTGTCAAATTTTGGGTGATACACATTTACTAGTGGGGTTGTGAAGTTTTTCCAAAATAATTGATGTGAAAAGTAAATTTTTGGAGAATGTATGATTTAATAAATGTTAAAATGGTACATTTAAACGTATATATGTTATCCTACTAAGCAAAAAATTGTAGACCAAAAAAATAACTTTCGAAATCCCTTGCATCTTTCTTCAATTTTTTATGATTTTTTTTGCGTTGCAATTTGAAAATCAGACAAATGATTAGAGTTAGTTTAAGAGAAAAGAAGAGTATAAAAAAAATATATAATCGTGTATGTAATATAAGTAACTGATGCTACACAGAATGAGTTAGAAAATTTCTTCCCCTTATGAAATTTCAATAGAGTGTAAGAAGAAAATAATTGCCAAAGTGTTTACAATATCTTACTCGTCATTTTTTAAGTGAAACTCCATAAATAGCTCCCTTTGATGCCACGGATGTGGATGAATAATGATAAGTGTTTGAATAACTATAGTACCTTCATTCCATCTTCAATGATGAAGAATTTTATTTTTTTTTTCTAATTTTGTGCTATGAAAAGTAAATTTTTGTATGGAAAAATTTTATAAGATAGAATAGTATTTTCATAAACTTTCATCAATCATTTTTTTTTCCCTGAACTAACCTATTTTGATAAATTTTAATTTGCAAATACCTAAATTTGTTTATAAGATAGAATAGTACTCCCTCTGTCCCAAAATTATTGTCCAGTTTGGGATTTCAGTTTTTGTACAATTTGAACTAAAAATGAAAATCCAAACTGGACAATAATTATGGGAGTGAGGGAGTATTAAGACACAATTCTCTGTACTCACAAGTTCCAAATGTTACCTGGGAATGAGTTGCCACAGCATTATCGGATCTTTCTCTTTGTTCTTCCCAATGTGACAATACAATCAAAACATGACCTGAAAAGGTTAATGCAACCATTAGGAGCTTGCTGTTCATTTCATGAGAGCCCAATATTTATAGTAGAAATAAGGGAGCAAGATAATAGAAGAGAGAGGAGATAGCCAGATAGGTAAGATTACAACTAATTATGACCCAATCAAATTTGATACTATAACATAAAATTTTGAATTTGTATAAGAACACATAATTCATTTGTAACTTGTTTGATCATCATTTATAAATAAGTATAACACTGAATAAATATTACCATAATTAAATTATTTGATAAATTAACAAATGAAGACAAATGAATTCCATTAAATAACAAAAGAGGATTTCTTTTTTTTTTTTTGTGTTTTCTAGATTTAGAATGTATTGAAAATTTATTGCACTACACGTTGCAAAAGCTAGCAGATAATTATTGACGACCAAACTAAGAACTAATCAAATCCTCACAGCAATCTAGCGTTTATATTGCGCTTGAATATGATTAATTTTTTATTTTTTAATTTTTATTTTTAGAAAATCCAAGGCGGTACATGCGAGTGATTTTGTTCTTGCAATGATAATCACTATAATTTTTTGTTCACCATTTCGAATGCGTGATTTCAATATTTAGTAGCTAATTGTATTCTATTAATTAGTGAATATTCAAACTCCAAATATATAGCAAACTTATAAGAAAGCACATCTAGAAAAGTTAATCGCAGTGGGAATAAAAAACTATCACTTCATCCAGTAATTTTTGGAATATACATACATTTTAAAATATTTACAATAACTGGATTAAGCAAATGATTAATACATTTCGCTCCAAAAAATATGCAACTAAATCTTCACTAATGAGTAATAACAACAAGAAAAGCTTATTCATAATATGCAAGCCCCTTATCCCTAAAACAGAGGCAAATTTATTATGTATTTATCTGGAAAATTGTTTTATGATAATCATTCATCTAATTTTGGTCATGATTGAAAAAAGTGAATAAATAAAACATAGTCCTTGCTCGCTTCAATGCGAATTTTAATAGAAGAAAATAAAATATGGGATTTAATGTCCTTAAATCACAGACAAAACGGGAAGAACAAAATCATATCTGAACCCTTTTGTGATACTAATCCAAATTATGCATTATTGTTAAGGAAATGCTGTCATAGAGTAACCAAAGTCATGGATCTGGCAAAATATTTCGAGCAACTTTCACATGTCATGTTCTGGTCAGTTAAGATGATGAAAATATATTAAAAAAACCTTTTTTAAAACCCATCAATGAAATATCTTTTGGCTCATTATCTAATGGTATCTTGACGTTCTAGAGTTCATATTTCCACGGAATTATATAAGATGTAAAGCAAACTGAGGAAGATATGGATTGACACAGAAATGAGCCAAAATTTGATAGTCAGCTCTGTTTTTTTGGTCATTTGGTATACGGCAGGCAAAATTATACAGGTAAAATTATGATAGAATAAATTTTTCATTCACTATTCGTTTTTTTTTTGAAAATTAAATATTAAAATATAAAAAAATTATTTTGTTAAATAATTAGTTAAATATTAAACATTAGTTAAATTATTGCCATAATAGAATAAATATTAAAATAATTTTTAGTTCAATTATTCATTCCTTATAATACAACAGCAAATACTCTTATAATACAAACTCTTAGCAACTTTAGGTTTTTGAATTGTAGAAGCAAATACCTTTCTCGCACAATGCTATATTGGGGAAATCTAATGAAATAAATTAAGAAATCTGCGTACAAGGAATGCGATTTTCTTTTTTTAAAAAAAAAAAAACTCCAAAACTAGCAGGAAATTCGGTGTCGAATAAAAAAGTAATAAACTAAATCCGCAAACCTTAAATAAAGTATTGACAATTACAATTTTAAAAAAATAATTTTATAAGGCGGCAAAATTTGAATGTTCAAATCAAAAAACCGCATATTCCATTTGCGGGAGAAAAAACAGCATTCCTCTTATGCGGTTTTAAGTCTTATCCAGAAAACTTAAGCAGATCTTGTGGTAACAACACGTGGCAGATAAGTTGACAAAAAAAGCTTACAAAACCGCATTACTCCTATGTGAAATTTGGTAAAAGTATCTGCCAAAAGACAAAGCGAACGGGCATTTCTTTCATTCTCAATTATAAGATTTTCAGCTTTGAGAGCTTCCAATCGGAAATGCAAAATTCCGGCGAAAGTAATGCAAAAATTTGAAAGAAAGATTGGTGTTTGAATCGTTTTGGTATGTTTCTACTCTCTGCCATCTGAATAATGTTTAGATTTGCATACTCTATTGGATAGATTGTTGTCTTTATATTTTATTGTAGAATTATGAGATGAATGATATAATTTTGATGTATGAGATGGGTGAATTGGTTGAATGTATGTATTTTAAAGATGAATATGTGGTTGAATTAATTCTAGACTTTAAGTTGGGTATAGGAACAACATTAGAATATAGATTTGTTTTTGGTGAAAAGATTAAAATATAGATTTGATAGATGTATAGATATGAAGATGAGATAAGTAATTTATTTAAATTAGACAGTTGAATAAAGCATTTAAATCAAACGGTCGTTATATATTTTATAGTATTGACTGTTGGATACATTTTCATTTGGGGTTTAAATTATTTATTGACCGCGAGTTGAATTACATTGAATTCGTGGACAAGGTCTGTAGAGCTGCTGGTTTTGATAAGAGAATGGTGACAATCAGCTTTGTTTTTGTGTGGACCGATAGTTCTGGTAGAAGGGGGTATATGCATATAAAAAAAATGTTGCGAAAAAAATGTTGAAGGTAAAAGAAGGGAGTAAGTAACTAACCATTTAACCCGACTAGGCACATCTGATAAGTTAAAGTAATTTATTGTATATATAAAAAAATGTTGGGAAGAAACGGTGCCAGAGGGTTTCGAACTTGACACCTTCAAAGCAATTTACTGTATATATACAATAAAAATTTACTGTATATATACAAATTTATTGTATAAAAAATGTTGGAAAGAAATGGTGTCAGAGGATTTCGAACCTGGCACCTTCAAAGCAATTTACTGTATATATACAATAAAAATTTACTGTATATATACAAATTTATTATATATAAAAAAAATGTTGGGAAGAAATGGCGCCAGAGGGTTTCACACCTTCAAAGCAATTTACTGTATATATATAAAAAAAAATGTTGGGAAGAAATGGTGCCAGAGGTAAGAGAAGGGAGTAAATGACTAACCATTTAACCCAGTTGGGCGCATCTGAAAAGTTTAAGTAATTTATTAAATATATACAAATTTATTGTATATATAAAAAAATGTTGGGAAAAAATGGTGCCAGGATTTCGAACTGGCACCTTCAAATTGAAGGTAAAGAAAGGGAGTAAGTAACTAACCATTTAACCCGGTTGGGCACATTTGAGAAGTTAAAGAAATTTATTGTATATTACAAATATGTTCAAATTTGTAATTGTTCAAATTTGTTTTGTTTTCACATGTAATATTTAGTAATACTCAATTATTGAACAAATTTGATATTTTTACTAATGTAATACTTAGTTATACCCAAAACAGAGTATGTTTGGTTTTGTTTTCACATGTAATACTTAGTTATACTTAAACAGTGTATGTTATAAACCAAATTTGATCTTTTTACTAATATAATACTTAGTTATACACAAAAAAGAGTATGTTTGGTTCTATTTTCACATGTAATACTTAGTTACACTTAAACAGTGTATGTTATAAACCAAATTTGATCTTTTTACTAATACAATACTTAGTTATACACAAAACAGAGTATGTTTGGTTCTCTGTTTAGATGTAATACTTAGTTATTTCTTGCCATCTACAAGTTTCCTCAGCTCTTTCAACTGTATACTATAAAACCTCTCTAAATTAATAGCCTTCGGTCCCCTAAAATTTATTAATTTATCGAGTTATTAATTTATCAATAAATTAATAATTATTAAATTAAAGAGTTTTTCAATTCTAATAGGGGATAATCTTTGCCAAGAAGGAAAGAAAAGTCGATTGTAAATATGGACTTCTAACTTTATTAATACGGTACTAGGGTTCTCTTTGTGTGGCTGCAAATTTTGAATCTCCTGAAAAAAAGCACTAACGGCAATAGCAACTCGTCATAATATTTTGTTGCAGTATGACAAAGCGACACCGAAACTTTTGAATGCAATGAGAAAGATTAAAGATGATATCTCTATAGATATAAATTTTAAGAAAAAACAAAGATTAATTGATTCATATTTTACTATAAATTTTATTAGTTTTTCTTTAAGTAATTATTAATTTATGAAAATGTGGGGAGCTATATTTACCTAAGAAATTCTTGAAAATTTATTATCTTATAAATTAATCGAGTTTTTTTACTTTTTGTACTGGTCCCAAGTTGGACCGGTAAAAATAATTATTTAATGGAGGTTATAAATTTATAGAGGATTAATTTAGAGAGGTTTTACTGTAATTGTCTTTTTATTAGTTTAGTTTTGAGAGCTTTTATTATTGGGTTTAGTAATTTCCGGTGTATACAAGCTCTAAAGCATATTCCGGCGGGAAACTACACCAGAAAGTTTGAATTACATGGCAACTCAGCATTTTTTGCTTTTAGTAAGTCATTTGAGTACGTTGGAATGGTCTCTAGTGAATATTCTAAAATTTTCGCTTATGTGCCTTTCGCCGATTGAATCATTTAGTTGCGGTACCATAATTTTTTTTTCCTAATTCAATCTTGAGAGAGCTAGAAGGCTTTCACCTTTTCCTTTAAAAAGGGTTTTTCCTTCAAGTTGAAATATGGATTGTATTGTAGAAAAACATGTAGGTTTGTGAGGTTTTTTTTACTTTTAAGGTTTAGTAGTTATATAAACAATTTGTTACAAGAGCTATATACACGATCGCGTATGTGCATTTTTATTTACTTGTTAAAAGATTAAAGTACTTCGTCATCAACAAATCAGATATTCAATTGAGATGGATAAAACATTTAAAGTAGAATTCCTTATTGATTGCTCTTTGACAACGTTGCAAATTGAAGAAGATAGAAATGGAAATGAAACAAGGGTGGTCCCTTTATCCATTTGCTATGCTAGCAGAACATGAGCAGCAATGATACTGTTAAATCTCCGACCCTGATAGGATTGTCCAGGATTTGAACTTTGAACCTTCAATCTGATTTTTTATTAAGGATTTAAGTTGATTGCCCCAATTATCACCATCATCAATCTCCAATTACATTGCGAAATCACTTTCTCCTTTGCAAAATTCTGTGACATGATCACCCTATAACTCTCTATTCAATGTTACAAAACTAAATATCCAATATTAATGAACTCGAAGCGATTACACATGGCTTACAATGACTGAAACACACATGGTCCCAGGGTATATAAGCCCTAAATTCATTGAAAGGAAAGCCTAAGTAGGAGGAGCAAATGTCTACTTGGACTTCTTCTGCTCAGATACTCGAGCTCCCATAATCTTGCAAACAGCTTCATCCCCGCTTTTTACAAGCTTCAAAGCAGGATGTACTTTAAGGTCTGCCATCACAAGCTTTTGGCCGACGTCTAGCTCACTCAAATCAACATCTATAAAAGGAGGGATGACATCTGGTGGGCAGAGGTATTTGACGGTCCTCTTGATTATGTTCAAGTAAGCCCCTGGCAAAACAAAGAAAATGTTAGACACAACTTTCGTTATGTGCTATTATCCCCACAAATGGACTGGAATCAGCACGTAACATGATACAATACACATTAGAAATAATTCTCAGTTGGAGATTTAACATTGCGAACGTGGACTCAATTCAACAAACAAATCAAGTGCTGCCTTTGCTATCTCAGTATCATGGTTTGCTGATAGTTTTGTTTTTTATTAACAAAAACCACTTGTCCTCTTGACTCTTGAGGAAAATACGAAGAATGCACTGATCTAACAGCACAACAGATCCATAAATTTTTAAGTCGTACAAGAAAGTGAGATTACTCAACACTTGTATGTGAGTGTGTAAAGAGAGATCACATATTTATAACAGAAAATTATGAAAGGATTCTTGATACCTTTTCTTAGACCAGGAGAAACATCCTCGCCTCTGAATACTAGGGGAACATCAACCTTTAAAAGAGCACTCGGTGGAGCTCTTATGAAAGTAACATTAAGCACAGCATCATTCCCAGTCTGCAAATGAAGCTGAAATAAAAGAAACAACAATAAGGGCACGCCTCAGGGGAAAACCTGTGAAGCAACTCACAGGCACTTGAATTATTGAAACAGGATTTATGCATTGGTTCATCCAAACTAAAACACTGGCAAAAATAGAGAGGAATATACGGAGTACAAGACAGTGCAAAGTAGCAAATTAGCATTTTTGAAGTAAATAGTTCAGCTGAAGGTTCTCATTTTGCATCTAAGTTCTAAATTTGCATCAACATAACCCATACTAGAAGATAACTCTGAAATTTCATAGCTTACAATGGGACAACACTATTAGAACTACTTAGAATGAGAAGTAGATATTTAATAGAATCCTATATATTTGAAGATAAACAATAAATAGCAAAATCAGTTATAACTAAACTTTGGCAAAAATTTCTAGTAGAACTCCGTCCATTGTAAGTCCTTCAATATAAATCTTATGTAACCTTGAAATCATTAATACACTAATCTGAGGTCCACCATATCCCAGGTTCAAAAAGGAATCAAACTAGTTTATACGGCCATCTTCAGATAAATTTTAGATATTTTACCACAGAGAAATCCAAAACATTTACTGCAAGCTTGAACAAATATTTCAAACTAAAAAGGAAACGTCCCAAATTGCACATGATCATCGTTACAGTTGCCTCAGCTGGCATTTTATAGCTGCAGCATGCCAGTGTTTTCAACTATTACCATGTTTCAGAAATAGGATGCATAAAACTGCAAGGAGCCTGTCTTTATGATCACATTGTTGCAAGAAAATATCAGCTAATGAATCAAGAAAGTTCACTTAACTATGCAATTCCCATGTAAGTTAATGTATCCTAATGTTAAAAGGAATCGAAAGAAAACAATTTAAATATATTTTCTTCTAGTTTGGTCAAGTATAGCAACAGACAGATCATCTGGAATTAGGGGTGAACACTCATATGCTTACGTAGAGAAAAGATAACTAAAGAAAGATGGTACTAAAAAGCTAGTGCCAGAGGGCAGGAATGATCTGCGTAGAAAGCTTCATAATACACTAATACTAATTCATAACATCAACAAGATTGGCTATGAAATCTACCATTTTGTGACAAATGCTTTTCAAATAGAGGAACACAGCTCTACAAGGAAACTGCTTGACGTATTAGAGAGTATGAAAACTTTGCCAACTACATAACAGTTTGTTCCATCCTTAAATGCATAATGGGGCAAGAAACTTCAGTGTATAAAGTAGTCTAGAAGATGACCAAATGCTTCAGTTCTAGATACTCTCAAGTGAGCTTCACATATTTGGTGACTTTCGAAACTTCAAAGTAAAGGGAAGACAACCAAATGAATAGACCAGGAAATAACCCAATCAGAAACGACATAATAATTGGTAATATAAGCACAGAAATGTTCTACAACTCAATCAACTTGACAGATGAAAAATTTCTTAGTCTTGGAGAAACATTGACACATTTCTCCAACATAAAGGATCTGGTAGAGACAGTATGGCAAGGAAATGTGAAGAATATTTTAAGCAGCATCAGTTTGCAAAAATTTAAATATAGTCCAGTGGTTCCTCAAACATTCTTGAATAAGATTCAAGAATTTCTAGTCCTGAGCACAATCATACGCTAACTTAACTACTTTTCACGACTCAAGGTTGCCACCGAAAATTAATGGTTTGGAGAAAAAGGATACATTCATCCAAGGAGTTGAATAACCCGTAAAATTAAAAAACCTATTTCAAACTCATTTCAGCTAAAATACCCAGAGAATTCACAAATGTTTTGTCAAAGGAGAAACATTTGATTTCACCTATTTCTACAACTGTAATGAAAGAACTACATTCGAATTTCGCCAACAACAAAATCTTAAAATTAATGCAGGAACAATAGAAGTTCCGATGGAGCAGAAACATACCAATCTGGGCAAAACCCGGACTTTCTCAATAATTTCATCCGATTCAAATTCCGGCCGGACCTCAAGATCAAACAACCTGGAGAGGAAGAACGACCGGCCCATATGATTGACAAGCTTCTTTATCTGATTAGTCTGCACGGAAATGAGCCTCTTATTCCCGCCGTGCTGCCCATCCTCCTGCTCGAATACTATGCTCGGAACCCTGCCGGCTTTTCTTTCTTTGGCGCTAGTGATTCTTCCACTCCTGCCCCGTGGGATGGCGTGGATAGTCACTGCATATTTCGGGTCAGGCGTTGGAAACCCGGGTAGGTATTGGAGGGGTGTAGTGGATGGAGCCTCCAAATCCTCTTGGAGAAGCGGAGCTGCGCTGAAGCGGCGGATATGGTGGTGGAGGATCCTGACTGACTGTAACTTCCGGAGCAGCATTTGGGTTTTCCGGGTTTCGGTTTGTTTTTTCCCTCAGAAAAGTCGGAAAATCATGGAAAAGAAGAAAATGGTAAAAGTTGCAGAGAAAATGAGGTAGCGAGGAAGGAGAAGGAAGGAGGGCTTTGGAAGGGTTTTTGGGTGGTGAAAATAAGGCCAGAACGGGCCGGGCTTTTAAATTATCATCTCATTTTGGGCCTATATTGCTGGACGCCAAAGTGAGTGCTGCTAAATTTGTGATAGTAATGGAATATGTAACATGAATTAAAATTAAGGTTTCGACTCTGCATCGTTCCAATTTTATCGGATGTCACTGAGGGATAAGGTCTCGATTCTTGTATAATCCGCAAAGGCTCACATGAAAACACGAAATACAAAATACAACAACAATTATTAAAGAAAACGATACATTTTCACCGTTTGATGAATAAACTAACACTCACTAGTTCCATACTAATAAACCACTTTGTAAAGTGATGAAATAGATGATTAGTATAAAACGATAAAACGGAGAAAGTAGTAAGGAAATATACCCACTCGACACTTCATCGGGTGGTTATATTTTAGATACATGTTACGCTTACTTTTCCGACTACACTTATAGGCTCATGCTCTTCATCCGCTTACCTTGTTTGAGTGCATTTTATGATCACGGCCGTAAGATGGCAAAATTCTACCGTAGTAATAATGGTCAGCTTCTGCCTGGTTTGACGATGATGATCCATTGATACCATTTCCAAGTAGTTCTTGATGTCGATCACCACCAGCTTCTTCCGTTCTTGTAATTAACAATGTTGGTTCATTGCCATTAGTACAGTCCATAACCATGTCTTTTGGTCCATGTTCATCAGCTTCTCCATAAGCCTGTGATCTCGAATCGATGCCATTCGAATCTGGCAGTTCCTCATTTAAATCAAACCCTTTTGCAGAACGTTCAACATCTAATCCGGGTTCGCGATCATTGCCAGTGTTAGTATGACGACTAACCGGGATTAGTCCTTCTGAATTATGCTGATGATGATCAGCTTCAAGGCCGTTGGAAACTTGTTCTTCATCATCATCGGAAAGTTCAGCATCTGCGACCTGTTCATCTTCTGATTCTGATACTTCAACCACTGGATCCAACTCCACCACGACTGCTTCCTGGTGGGGACAAAAGATTTGGAGTTTGTTTTTTTTTTTTTTGAAAACACAAAATTGTATGATCAACAACAAGAAAAAGTTGCTTTTCAAAGATCTAGTGTGTGCTACAACAGAGGGAGACAGAATCAACCTTTTGCAGCATGGAATTGAAACCGCTGCGTTTATGAATTAGAGTTTGAACCTTCTGTAAAGTCTGATTCATTGAAGACAATGGAGAAAAATCAGCATACATGAAGTGAAAGAGATTAATATATATACTGTCCTTTCCTTGATTTTGTCCCAGAAAAATAGTTTGATTTGCGAGACTAATTTCAACAAAGTGGATTAGTATTTACCTTTTGTATGGTAGGTTGCCTGCATATTAGCCCATCATGCTCTTTGTACATCTTGGTCATAACCTGTTCCATAAACAAGCATGTAAATTCAAATCACTTTTCTCTCTCTTTCACACACACACACACACAATAATTTACATGAAATTCAATTATTCATGAATTCTTCAAGAAACAGAGTGATGTATTATAGTGTCGTTTCTGTATTGGAAGTTAAGGGTTTCAATACTGTGTTTTTTTCCTTCTTTAACGTGCTTAACAAGGCATCAAAACAATCCAATATATAACTAAGAACTAACCAAAGATTGCTTATTTACAATCTATTCTGTTCATAAAACCCCTGAAACCATTAACCATTCATACTTATAATTTTTAGTTTTTTTTTTAAATCTAAAAGGAAGAATTAACGCCCCAAATTCAATATCGGGCAGAAAAGAATTGATCTTTCCTTCTTCTTCTTCATTGTAATTGATCAAAATTTAACAAACAAGATTCCAATTGCATGACAACCTTCTCTCCCTCGAAGAATCACTAAATCCATCAACATTGTTAAATTACCCTGAATTCGACAATTTATAACAACGTGGAGAAAAAGATTAACCAACCTAGCTGATCAAGAACAGAGTCGCCGATAATCAAATTATAAACTTAAAAATTAAGGCGCCATTGAGCTAAAATCAATGATAATCAATGTTCAAGATTTCAAATCTTGAGCCCAAAAAATATAAACAAGAAAATCACAAATTAACTTGAAGCTAATTAATTTGGCTGACCTTAGTCTCTGGACTTGGAGGCCGAGCTTTACAATGCCTACTAATTGCTGACCTTGTGCCTTTCCAATCCCATGTTTTCAGATAAAGTTCTTCTTCTTGTTCTTGTTCTTCTTGTTCTTCTTGTTCTTCTTCTTCTTCTTTCTCAGAAACTATAGGAAGAAGATTAGGATTATTAAAAACAGGGGAGCCCAATGAGAGTAGAAGTAACCCGTCTACGGCGTCTCTAACTGCCTCGTCATCTAAGGACGGAGGTGACGGAGACCGCCACCGCCGCCGCGCCGGAGACAGAAGCTCATCGTCGTCATCGAATTCCGGCACCATGGATGGATCTCTTTCTTTGGGTCTTTGGAACAGAGAGTTTAGTTTTTTTTTTACTTGCCTTATAATTTAGTTTTAAATTGGTAGTATAATTAGTAGTAACTAGTACGGAGTAAATATATATAAAGGAGTTTTATTACAAATCAAACACTTTTCCTATTCAATTACTACTAACTAAATATTATGAGAGTGGGTTTGGATCTATGTTTGATTGTTAATGATGATTTATTCTTTTTTTGGGGGGTAATATAAATAGTTCTCTGTATTAGGAGATTACTAATTTTTATCTTTTTTATTTATTTATTATTTTTTTTGGCGGAAAATTTAATTTATGCTAGAGACTGAGAGTATGGAACTTTCTTGTTTATTTATGTTTGTTCTGAATTAAGTATTTTAATAATTTTATTTCTGAATGACTAAATTTTTTTTGGTTTAGGGAGTTGAAAAAGGGGATTGGAAATTTTTAAATGAAAATAGTGAAAGTGGAAATTAAGTCTCACGTATCCTGTTTTAAAAGAAGAAAAAGTACTAGTAAAAATTAACAATATGAAAACCATACCGAATTAGGGTTCTACAAACACAATAATTGAAACATGGGCTTCTTCCAGCACTATTCACTGTGGATGTTGTAATGTAAAGACCATTTTAATTTCTGTCTATATTTTTAGGAAGAGGAAATATATGTTGTTGTTATTCATAGCGTTTGTGTAAATTTACACTTTACATGATATTATGAATAATAACTTCTTACTCACGTAATACGTTGATTGTACTATGCGTTTGTTTCATAATTGAGAAACTTATTTCTAAGTACTTTAGAGAAACCTATTTTGCGCCACCATTATTCGATCGTGTTCAATAGGTGTATCTGCTGCTATAACTTTTTGATTTAGTTTGGTTCTTGATACAAATGATTGTTTTTCCCCCTCCAAAATGAAATCGGAGCAAAAGACCTAATGTGAGAGACCTTGTGGTTTCTTGAGAAAGAAAAATTTCACTTGGATAATCAGGTTGTGAAGACTCTTAGGTTCTATTTAGACAAGAGTTTTAAAAAGAATTTTAAGGTTAAAAAGTGTGTTTAGAGTTTAAAATGTGTTTGGACAAAATAAACAAGGTCTTTTCTATACATTATTTTGAAAAAAAAAAAGGCTTGAAACAGACTTTTCAGAAAATAGATAGAGAGGTATTTTTCAAATTTTTTAAACAGACTTTTTCATTTTCATGGCAGGTCTCAAATTGGGTCAAGGCGGGTTATTAAAAATTCGGGTAATGGATGTAGAGAAAAAAAAAAGGTTCTCTTCTCACTTCTCTCCCATGCCCTAGATCTGCCGCTTGGGTTTCTCTTCCAAATTGCCTGAACCTTGCTGCAATTTTATGGCGATTCACGTTTCTTCTCGTTTTGTCTTTCATCTTCTTATGCATCTGCCGCCATAAGAAAAAAATGAAAGGAAGAACTCAGAAAAATGACTCAGAACTCGAAATTGGTGATGGGATTCTTGTGTTTGCAGTGAATGGGGTGAAGTTTGAGGTGCCCAGTATTGATGGCGGAACCAGCTAAGTGTCAGCTGACCCCTCCATTCCCTCCCTCCCCCGAGTCGCCGCCGGAATGTATAGGCGTTTTATGGTCAGAAGTTTATAGTGACTCTACCAATTATCTTTTGCCCCCAATTTATGAAGAAAAAGATTCTTAAAGGCCTTCCAAAGGCTTCAGAGATTTTTTTATTGAAAGAGGCTCTCGGAGTAGGCAGCAAGAGTTGTCCGACGACATAAGCTTGTAGCGGTGATGGGCTCATGCGAGGAAGAAAAAGAACTTGGAAATAAATATTATTGAATATTATTAGTTAATACATATACTTTCTTAGTTTTCCAAAGAGACCCCTCTTTAATTAAAGCCCATCTTAAGATTTAATCAGCCCCTGATCTATTATTTATAATTTTATATACACTATCTATTCTTTGATCACTTTATAGAACTAAATCCAGAAGTATATACTATACTTTGGTTGTGCTGAAGGTATTTTATTTATTTATTTATTTAATTTATTTATTTACATATCTTCATTCCATTTGCTCATTTAAAAATATCTCGATAACAATATTCCAAACTTATCATGCATTTGATAAGTTAGAATGGCTCTAATATTATGTTTTAATTTAGTCATAATGATTTTAAAATTATATTCTAATTTTGATTTATGTTAGAAGATAAAGTGTGGAAAATAAAATTTTGGAACAAGACAATTGTGAAAAATAAAACAATAATTTAGGAAAGAAAAGTGAAAAAAAAAAATGAAAATAACTATTTGTCTAAGAATGACTTTCTTTAGAAAAAAAAAAAAAAGTTCACAAATCATTTTTAACAAAAAGTAATTTTGAAAAAGACCTAGTCCAAATGACTTTTTAATATTTTTAATTACTAAAAGGGTTTTGAGAAATTCTTGTATAAATACATTATTTTTCAAAAAGTACTTTTTAAAGTTTTGCTCTAAACAGACTTTTCTTAATAAATTTTCAAAAATCTTGTCCAAATGGAGCCTTAAATTGTGTGAAAGGAATTGTAATGGGTGAAAGTCATCAAAAACTAGTAAAACAAATAAAATTTCTATATTGAAACGGAAGAAACAAATATTTTCAAGAAGAAAA